CCCCCCAACAAGTTTTATGGATTTTTTGCGAAATTACGGATTTTTGCGCTTTTTATACAGGTAAACACCCAAAGAGGTTGACACGTATGGGACAACAAAATACAGACTTGTTATTGAGTTTGTTAACACCAACAGCTACCTGAGAGGCACTACTAGCCCCTCCCCTGTCAGAGTGTCGGAGCAAGAAGAGTCAGTGCAACGTCAAATGAGAGAGAGGGTGGGGGTGATTACTGCATTGGGGGGGAGAAAATGTTTTGTGGATAGAGTAGTTTATTTTTCCTGTAATACTTCATTATAGTTTTTAAGACAAAGCTAATTGAAAGGGGCGCTGAGCAGAATTACAACCAGGGATTACAAATAATAGTTACAGTTCGGCGCCCTCTCCAGCAGATGGCACTCCAGGCGACCGCCTAGTTCACCTATGCCAAGAGCCGGCTCTGACTGTAGCGTGCGCGCACGCATACCCACACACAATCACTTGTTCTTTGCATGACAAACATATGTTATTCCTATTCTTACTTAGAATTTTTTTCTCACTCATTTTATATTAAATTCATTATTTTCCTGACTGTAGAAATTATTTCTGATTGCACAGGGATCACTCAAATGTGTCCTTCACACATGCAGGAATTAATTTGCATCTGTTTAACATGTGTTAATGAAGGCGTGTCAGGGGAGTTGTCTTACCTGCGCTCAGTTCCACATTAATTGTGATGTACAAAAGAAATGTGTGTGGATTCAGGCGTACGCACGGTTTGATACATCTGGATTTTTTTGTGCGTACGCCATTTTTTGGATTTGACCGTACGTCAGGTTTCAGTAAGAAATCCACGCAAGTCTTTGTACATGAGGCCCCTGCTGCTATGAAAGACAAATATTAATGTAATCATCTCTCTTTCTCTCTCCCTCACTGTGAGTGTGAAATAAAGGAAAATCATACTTTCTTGACGAAGATCAATTCTTATAACAAAAGATACCCAAATACATTCAGTAATATTTTAATCCTTTGTGCTGTTGTTGTTATTGTGCAGTAAAAGCAGTATCTGTTGTAACTGACAATAAATTATTTTAAAAAGCAATTTGCATTGTGTGGATTGTTCATGTTTATATTCATGTTGGTTGTTCATAAATGTTTTTTTTTTGTTTGTTTTGATTCAGTAATATTTGTATTTTCAATGTGTTTATT